TGGAACTCACTTGGTAGTCCAGGCTGGCCTCGAACTCACAGAGATCCGCCTGCCTCTGCCTCCCGAGTGCTGGGATTAAAGGCGTGCGCCACCACCGTCCGGCGAGAAAAGACAACTTTTAATCAGTGTTAGAATGTTTGGTCTGCAAAGGTACAGTGTTTCTCAATCCCAAGAGGAAGACTTGGTTAACCATTTGAGAAATCATGTATGAGTTAAATGCCTGGTCTAGTTTGTCCTGCTCCTGGGTGGTCTGATTTTTATTTGTTCCTTTAGTGGTACGTGCATGTCTTAGAAAGCCCCTATTCTGTAGAATTGGCCAATTGGGCTTTGAGTTAACATTAGATGGGTGTAGGATACTGATTTTACCTTTGAAGTTTAAGCTTTCAAGACCTGAAACTGTTAGTCCAGAGGTAACTTTAGACCTGTTTTTACCAAGATTGCCCAAGATCAGCTTTGACCTAAACCTAAGAGCTGCAATAACTTTGGGAATGAACACATAAAAGAGCTTTACTCATTGTCTGTGCATAAACAGGGCCACACTGTAGCCCTGCTTGGCCTGGAACTGTGTATGTAGGCCAGGTTGGCAAGGTAGACCAGGGTGGCCTTGAACTCAGAGATCTGGTGCTAGGATTAAAGGCGTTGAGCACCACAACTGGTTGTGCTTTATTTTCAGTGCTAAGTGTTTGAATATGAAATGAAGCAACTGCTACTGTACTCACCTAGTAGACTTGAAAGTAAAGATGCATTGTTCTAGCTGCCATCGGGCTCCTACCATCGGGCTCCTGCCTGTGTGCCCAGCCTCAGCTCATCTGCTCCATACCTCCTTACTGTAGTCTGGGTCCACTTGCTTTTCCACAGATGATGCTAAACTCATTCTCAGTCCAGGTCCCTTGGACTGTTTCCTCGGCCTGGAATGTTCCTTTCCAGTTTTTGCCTTATCCTTCAGGTTTCAGTTCTGTTAATTCTTTTATAAAATAGATTTGAACTGTTCACTCGCTAAGCAGTTTACCCATTGAAATTATACACTTTAATGTTTTCAGTGTTTCCACAGTTGTACAGCCGTCACCAGGATCAGTGTTTGTTCATTTGTTTGTTTGTTTTTTTAAAGCAGGAAAGACATTTCATGCCAATTCAGACATCATCCCACCTAGTAAAATGGAAGCAATCCAACAGATACATGATCAAAAATTTTGAACCATTTAAAAAATAACCAGAGGGTGTTAGAGAGTTGGTTCATCAGTTAAGAGCACTGGCTACTCTTCCAGAGAACCCAGTTTCAGTTCTTTTTTAAGTATTATAATTATTTACTTATTTATTTATTTACTTATTTATTTATTTATTTATTTATTTATTTATTTATTTATTTATTTATTTATTTTTGAGATAGGGTTTCTCTGTGTAACAGTCCTGGCTTTCCTGGAACTCACTCTGTAGACCAGGCTGGCCTTGAACTCACTGAGATCCTCCTGCTTCTGCCTCCCAAATGCTGGGATTAAAGGCATGTGACACCAACACCCAGCTTTTTTTTTTAGTATTATTTTAGTCTATATCTCTGACAGACAAGATCCTCTCTCATTGAATTAAACATGATAATTTCAGATTGTGAAAATATTATGGAGGACTAAAGTTGAGTTAGTCCTGGGGGAAATTATGATTAGAACTGATAAGAAGAGAAAAAATAATGGTCTCAGAGGGGAGGCTGTAATTCATCCTATGTGAAGGAAATATATTCTGTAGGAAGTCCTGTTTTGTCACTCATTTTTAAGATTATTTCATGGGGGCTGGAGAGATTGCTTGGTGGGCGGTTGGGAGCAGAGGCTGCTCTTCCAGAGGACTGTAGTTCAATTCCCAGCACCCACCTGGCAGCTCACAACTGTCTGTAACTCCTGTTCCAGGGATCCAACACCCTCACATGGACATACATGCAGGCAAAACACCAATGTACATAAAAATACAAATAAATTATAAAACAAGATTATTTCACATATTTTGTCAGAAATAGAATACTTGGCTTTATTAAATGAGGTAAAAGTATTAAAGTATGTGTAAATTCCTTTTTTAAGGGCTTATTTTGACTTCAGTAGAAAAGAAAATAGATTAAATAGAAAACACAAAACAAAAACAAGTGAGAAGAGAAACTCATAGGAAAACTGGGAAACCTGTGCAGAACATAAGATCAAGAGCTGTGGAGGAAAGACTGCGTTTGACTGACGTGCTCAAGAGCACCTGGGACGTGTTTCTTGCCTGTTCGGTCTCCTACTAGAATGGTCCTAATTAGCATCAGTAGTCGAGTCCACCTCCCATCTGCCCTTCTAACATCATCACTGCAGTGGGGGAAACAGGAGAGAACAAGGTGGAAGAATCCACAAAACTGGCAGATGGGACACACTTTGTACTGGGACTGATGGTCTAGGGAAAGGCAGCCATGTAAACAAGTAGTTAGAGGTGTCCTAATACTTGCCATGGGATAATCTCTGGTAGTCTAGGGAAAGGCAGCCATGTAAACAAGTAGTTAGAGGTGTCCTAATACTTGCCATGGGATAATCTCTGGTAGCACTCAGAAGGCAGAGGTGCTCTGCTGGGCTGGCTGTGTTAGAGAAGGCGTGGAGTAGGAGGTAGTCCTGAGCTTTTGTCTTGATGAAGAATTAAGTGATGAGACCTATATAGCCCTAGCTGGCCTGGAATTCTCTGTAAGCCAGGCTGGTCTCGAACTCAGCTTGCTTCAGGATTAAAAGGCAGGCAAGCAGATCTCTGATTCAAATTCCTACCCATTTCAAGCTTACACTCTATGAAAGAGATGGCTGGTCCTAATGGGTAGGAGCTTGGATGCCTTTGTTCACTCCTTAGAACATAAGTGGCCACTCAGTAAAGTTTTGATTTTTTTTTAAACTTTAAATCTGCTGGCTTTTGTTATTGACTTGCATTTTAAAACTTCACTGTGACAGCCTCACAGATAATGGTGGTGAGAAGAGAGTGCAGTTGACAGTTGGGATTGAAAGAGTCCAGTCAAGAGGCATGGAGGGCGTAGAGGCAAGAACTAGTTGGGAGGGAGAGCTAATGAGACTTGGCAGCTCGCTTCGGAAGGAGAAGTAAAGGGTATTGACTCCAGATTTCTGGCTAAGGTGGTTTGAACAAATGATGATGTCATCAGGGGAAAATGAAGCCATGGAGTTGAATAAAATAGACCACGGAGAGTGCATGAGATGGCCAGCCATATTCCATGTCAGGAAAGCTAACTGGGGTGACTGGTCACACTAAAACAGTAAGAAGATGGCTAAGACAGCTGTTTCCTGCAGTAAGGAAAGGAAGGCAGAGAACTGCAGGAAACAGCTGGCGCAGTTGCAGCAGGAGACTCTGGGCAGGGTGTCGTGGAAGCTGGGGGGCATCTGGAGAAGAGAGTGATCAACAGTCAAGGGGAGGTTTTCTTTGGCTGTTTTGAGATAATGTCTTACTATGTAACTCTGGGTGACCTGGAGTTCGCTATGTAGACCAGGCTGGTCTTGAACTCACAGAGCTCCCCCTGCCTTTCTCTGTAGGGTTAAAAGCATGTGCCACTAGACCTAGCTCTCAGAATTTCTGACTTTCTGGCTATTCTCAACTGAAGTGTGATATGTTGTAGAAGCTTGCTAAATATTTATTGAAATAAAGACAAATGATGAGCATTTTTTTATTGTTAAATTCTAGATTATTGAGGGGAGTCGACTTTTAGTATTTTGGGTGGTTGGGATAAAAGTGAGTAAAAATTTTACTGTAAGCAACATTTCTGCATTTAATGTGTGGCTCTGTCACTCACCTAAATGAACATTTTGGATGCTGCCTGGTGTAAGCACCTGCTATATTCTAGTCATGAAACATCTGATTCTAAGTAATTCAGTAGTGTCAGAGGTGGATATATATTTGTCTTCATGTATATGATAGCTTGAAATGTTCAATATGATAGAATTATTGAAAACCCCAAATCTTCTCTGCCCCCCAAAAGCACATACAGACTTGCAGCTTCTTTGAGAGTAGAGGCTTGTAGACATTGTATGAATTCAGATTATAAGAATTACTCATGTATTAATGGCCCTTCTTTTTTATGCCTCAAGATATGAAGCCTAGACAACTTTATTCTGGATCCCATAGCTAGATAATGACTCACTGTTGTATCTGCTACTTAACCATTGCCACTGTTTGGCTGTGGGTTCTGTCCCTCTTGGCATATTTCTAGATTGATCTCAGTTACTTCCTGGGTAATTGAGCTAGTTCAAACAAGTTGGCTCCAGTTCCATGCTCCATCTAAATCTGTCTGTTGTTTTTTCAGAAATCTGCCTGTTCAGTATGTAAAAAATTGTGCTATTTAGCAAGCTGTCAGATTTCTTATCTGTGTCTTTGAAGTCTTGAATTAAGAGTTGATGAGGCAAAGATGCATGCTAACAAATCATTTCTGTCTTGTTTGGAACAGGATGCTCTATGAATATGTCGAAAGGAAGCGGAAGGAAAACTCGGGCGCTCAGTTGCATGTTACCTACCTGGTGTCTGGCAGCCTTATACAGAATGGACATTCTGTGAGTTCTCTCGTAATGAGCCTTTGTGTATGTGAGATACAAACAGTATTAGAGCTAGCAGGAGAAAGAAGCAAGGTTGAGTAGTGTGGGAGTTTTAAAGTACCCAACCTTATTTTGAGATTCTAAACTAAATCTGACACTCAGGAAAGTTTAGGTGATATCTTGGCTGTGATAAGAGACTGTCATTAGTAGATGGTTACCTAGGAAATGAGACATTAGAGAGTGGTGGTCCTTGAACCTCCTTTTCCTCTTGAATACGTATCGAGGACACTGGTATTTAATTTTCATCCTGTTCAAATATTAAGCCACAAACTCAAGTGTTAAAAAAAGGAGAAAAGAAAAATGAACTGACTTTATTTTTAATTTGAGCACTCATTTTGATAGGTCACTTAGGGTGGCCCATTGGTGAGGGGTAGGCCTGAAGGCTTAGCTGCTGCTGCAGCACAGAGGCCCCGGGCTGGGAGTCTGTATAGGTGTGCATAGCCTCTTGTCTTTCGTCCCACTGGTACCTTGTCCACCAGCATGGGTACTGTTGCCTTTTCATCTCAGCCACAGAGCAGGTCTCAGGTCTGCTGATCTCTTACTAAGTCCATGGCCTCCTCAGGGCGGGCACATGCTTTTTAAACTCTCAAGTATTTGGGGCAGTGGCTCTCAACCTTCCTAATGCTACAACCCTTTAATATAGTTCCTCATGTTGTGATGACCCCAGCCATAAAATTATTTTCATTGCTACTTCATAATTATAATTTTCCTACTGCTATGAATTGATATGCAGGATATCGGTGTGAATTAATTACTGTCCCTAAGGCTGCACTACAAATCTGCAGTGTTTTAATGGTTAGCTCCTAATGCTTTTCTTCATAAGCCCTGTCGTTTTTAGTGTGCAGCTTTGCAGAATGTGATGTTTTGAAGAACATCTAGTTTGTATATATGATCATGCAGGTGTTTGTAGGTACGTGTATGTGTGTGTGTATGCAAGCATGCATACATATGTGTGTAGGTAAGCATGCACACGTGTGCATGGCTATGTGAAGGTCAGAGCTGTCTGCTCTGTTTTTTGAGACAAGGTCTCGCTGGAACCTGAAAGCTTGCTGATTTGGCAGACTGGCTGGCCAGTGGCTCTGGGGTCCCCTGTCTTGGTCTCCCAGCACTAGAATTGTAAGTGGTGCCACTGTGCCCATCTTTTCAGCTGGGACTTGAACTCAGATCCTCATGCCTGCCTGGCAAGCAGGTTACCACCTAAGCTATTGCCCGGCTTCATTTTCTTAAAAGAAAAAACACAATTTTCTAAATTCAAATCTATGACTTCATTTTTGAAAAGCTTTTTTTAAAGTATTGGGGAGATATCTCAGTGGTGGAATGCTTGCCTAGAATGTGCAAGGTTTGGCCCTCATTATTAAAACAAACAAAAATGTACTTTGATTCTAAATATGATGGCTCATGCCTGTGACCCGCAGCACTTGGGAGCTGAGGCAGTAGGATTACTAAGTTAGAGGCCAGCCTGAGCAGAGTGTGAGTTTCTGCCTCCTAAAAACCAATCAAACAAAAATGCTTGCTTGACCTTTATTGCTCTTCTATATTATGAACTTTGGTGGTTCCTAACATTGGCATAGTGTATGTTGCTTTAGCCAAATACCAGTTTTAGAGGAATAGGAATATGAAAAATGAATATTTTTACTAACAATTACTGAAAATTGTTAGGTTTTTTTCCCCCCCGCAGGTTTTCCTATAGGATATATCCTGCTTAAATGACCCAATCCCTCATTGTGGCAATTTACCAATCAAAGTTCTATTGAAACTCAGTTGTTTTCACTTTTGCTTTCAGTTTGTTGGTTCCCTGGTGTCTCACGTAGGTGGCTTTTGGATTGGGTTTGCCTTTCCCTTCTGGTTTTGTTATATATAGTTCTTATATATGCTTTTAATAGAAACAATTATGTTTCTATGACCTTTTTCTTAGATAAAGGTTCTCAGATTTTACAGCCCATTTTGAGCTCAGCTTTTTAAACTGTCCACCCTAATCATTTAGTGAGAGAAGTGTTCCTCCTGCAGACACATAAGGGCTGCATTGCTACGCGAGTTGGTTCATGGGTTCCTTATTGGGTTATTGACCATCTTGGCCGTTACATTGTGCCATAGTGAGCAGCTGTGTGTATATGGCCTCTGTGGCTTTGCTAGTTTGGGGGGCCACATTCCCGGAGGTCGTGCTGCTGGGCCGAGGACTAAATGGCTCAGCAGATAGCTCTGCTCTCCCTCTCACCAAGCTAGCGCAGCCCTAGCCCCGTGCAGGACCACTGCTGACTTTTGGGTGTGAACTGTCTCTCACACTTCCTGTTTGTTTTTCTGAAAGCTCTTCATTTTCCTCACTTGGTCTTTGTGTTATGTTTTGAAGCTGTATGACCTTTGTGATACAAGTTTTAGTTTAGTTTAGTTTTTTCTTCATTTGTCTTTGTACTTTGCTTAAAGTTTTTTATTTTCATTAAAAGGCTTCTTTTCAGCTTTCTTTTGTTTTAGGTTAATTGCAGATGCTTTACTTGCTAGTCAATATTCTTGATTTCTAAAAACAGCTAGTATCTGGCAGGAAAAACAGGCATGCATTTCCAATGTAACATGATTAAGTCCTGGGGTACTCTTGAGAATTTAATGAAAAAAACTTGTTTACTGTATTATTTAAAAGTTGCAATAAGGAAAAAAAAAAGGCTTTCTTTTAAGGTTATTTCAGTTATTCCTGGATGTTGAGTTAATCTAGGGTAGTGCCTAGAATTTATATTGAATATTGTGTGAGACAGATCTAACTTTTATCTAGTTCTATATATTATATAGTATTTGTCATTAAATCATTTACTAAAAATTGTTCTTATAGTGATTTGAGATATAGTTCTGTTTCATGAAAGTATTGAGGCTGGCGTTTCATTTTTCTTTCTTTTTTTTTTGAGAGGCTGTAAAATATGCAAATTAAAAGAAAATCAGACCACCCTCTACTGTAGTGTATTTTCAGGGTACCCAGTGTTTTCTAATTTTGTAGCTAAGCATAACTGAGTTACTGTCAAGGAAACTGAAATCCCAAGCTCTGTGACTTCACCACTGATGAAGTGTTGTTCCTCGCAGTGCCACAAGGTTGCAGTAGTGAGAGAAGATAAATTGGAAGGTAAGAGTGAGTCGCTAAGTAGGCCTTTCGCTTTTCCACTTATGGCATTGATTGGGTACACTCTGCAAGAGAGTGTATTTGGCTATTTAATCAAAAGAGTTTTATATTCCTTTTATTAATGGTTTCTGAAAGCTAAAATCTTCTTACATCTGCCTAACTTCCATTTTTAAGGCTAATAGCAGCTGACATAAAGTACATCTATGACAGGATTTCAAGATTCATGACAGGCATACAAAAATTGTCATTATTCCAGATGACATGGTTCCATAAACTGTGGGTCATGACCCCACGTGGGGTTGAATAACTGAATCGAGGGCTTGTCAAAAGATTACCAAACTGAGTTCATGACAACCAAGACTTCATTCAGAATCAAACGTGATGCCTCTGAGGGTTTTGTGGCAGTGCCACTCATGTTGCATCATGGGACTTGACTGTAGCCTTGGTTCTGAACACACAGTGAGTGCCCTTCGCATTGTGCGACATCCTGTCATGCACACCAGTGAGCATGGCCTGCGATACTGTGGCCCGGACTGGAGCTGGGTGTGATGCATGCTGTGTTGGGTGTTCTCAGCTGCAGTCTTTTTACTGAATGTGCAGACTTCTGTGCCTGTGTAGAAACACACCGTTTTTATTATGGGAGACAGCATTTCCCCACCCCTCTTCCTTACTGTGTGTCACATGAATGTGTTGGGGGATCGTATTTATGTTAGATTACTTGATTCTAAAAACTGCTATTTGAGTTGCTAGTTGTTTTATTTATTTATTTTTAAATCAGTAAATTTCAGCTTGGATAAGAACGGGGTTTCCAGCAATCTGAAGTGGCCTAAATATGCTTCTTCTATTTTGTATTATGTCTTGCTGTAGAGTGGTGGCATTGTCAGCACTGATGATTGTAAAAGCAAAATATTGATTAGCTAAAAAACATTGATGTGTTCTGCGTTCTGCAGTATCAAATATTCAGCCAAGATATCAATTCTTTGTGTAAAAATAGACACGCACACTTGTTTCATTAGTATGTTAAATTTGTTTTCATTTTTAATAAGTAATAAAATTATATTTATGTCCAAGGGTTGCTTTAAAATAAAATTCTTTATGACTTACCATCAGTAAAATTTGAATTATGTACCTATTTTTTATATATAAAATTGTATAAAAATTTCTCTGTCGATAAAGGAAATGTTAAGAAACTGCCATTTGTGATGATTACTATGTCCCAAGCTCTATGCTAGGTACTGGGGACAGGGAACAATTTAGGCACAGTGTCTTCCCTTGTAGAACCCACAGTTTGTTCCTGTGATAGTCTTTTGATTTTGCTCTGTAGACTCAGCTCATTAGTAATAATATTAGGTAGTTGCTTTCTCTAAATTGTAATTGGAGCATGTAACTTAAGTCTTCTCAGGTAGAGATTACTTCATTATCTTTAACTGGTTGAAAACAAAGCATCATCATCATCATCATCATCATCATCAATAACTAACTACTTGCCGAATGTCTCTGGATGAACGATAGCCTCACAGGTGCTGTACTTAGAAACCACTCAACACCATCATGTCCCATTACAGACAGAGGCTTATGTTACACTGTATATGTAGCTGTTTGGCCTTTTAGAGCTTTTGGACCACCATAGAGAGCAAATGGTTTTAGTGCAGAAGAGTTTCTTGTTAAAGTCCCCACAAGCTATGAAGTTGTGTATTAACAGACTGCTTTTCCTGTTGACTTGTAGCAGTGAAGTCCAAGCTAGCTGTGACTGCCAGCATCCATGTGTACAGCATCCAGAAAGCTATGCTAAAGGACAGTGGGCCTCTGTTCAATACCGACTATGACATCCTTAAAAGCAATTTGCAGAACTGCAGCAAGTAAGCTCCTTAATGTTCTTGTGGGCTTCTTTACGAATTGATTTTGTAAGGTGTTTACACAGTGGCTGCCTCTTAAGAGTGAATGCCAAGTCTAGTAAAACCCCATTTATCTTGCAGTAAGACACATGCCTGGTTTTATTAGTACATCACAAGGTGAAAAATAGCAGCCACAGCCCATATTGAGAACCCCAGTGGACTCCGCATAAATCTGTCTCTCATATATTTATCCTGTCATCACCACTAGAAATGCTTGTTGTGTCCCCTTAGTCCCCCTTTGCCCCAGTCTCTGCTTGTCTAAGCCGTACCCGTCCTTTAGGAGTTGGTTCAAATGTTGCCCTTCAAAAACTGTTCCTAAATTTGATGTCCCTATCCCTTCCAGCCAAAAGTAACTTGGCTCCAAAGCTCCATAGCCAAGATTAGATCTTGTAAATCTTTTGTGTTCTTCAGGGCACTGGATAGTAACAGACTATAATGTGTGTGCATTTTAGAAACTGATGATCATAAGTTTTAGTTGTGGTTTGCTACTTAATGGCTCGGTGGCTTTGGACAAATTACCTAATACTCTCTAGATTTGGTTTCTTCATCTTTAAATCAGTTGTGATAATTCCTACTTTGTAAGATTATACTAAGGGCTCAAGTTAGTTCTCTAAAAATATACTTGGGTATCTACCACCTTGATTTAATAATAATTTAAGTTTGGGGGCTGGAGAGGTGGCTCAGTGGTTTATAGTACTTATTCCTGATGCAGAGGACCTAAGTTCGATTCCCAGTACCCACATGGTGGCTTACGACTCCCATCCATAACCCCACCTCCAGGGGATCTAACACCCTTTGATCTCCTCGGGCACTAGGTGTGCTTATGGCGCACAGACATACATGCTGGCAAAACACTCTTACATATAAAATCAGATACATTTTTAAAAAGATAATTTGAATTTGTTTGGCATATATCTGATGAATATCATTGAGTTGCCATTCTACATACTTTTGAGAATGTGATCCAGTACCTGATCCTAAGGTCAGTGGCCTACAGGGGATAGCAGTTACAGTAAGGTGTTATCATGAGAGGAATGATGTGAGAAGATTTTGGAGACAGGCCTTTATTACCAACTTCTGGATGGGTGGACAAACAAGCGGCTTTTCACAGGGTTAAGGCGTCTAGGTTGAGACTCAGGTCCAATAGAAACTGCAGCAGATAAAGGAGGTTGAGAGTAAGATGGAGCTGAGAGAGAAACCGACATTGCATAATCATCATTATCTGTGGCCAGCACATAGGGGGAAGCTGGGAAGTCATTAGAAGACTGGAATCAGGTTCTTCTTTGAGTATTTCCATAGAGCTTGGACTTTATTCTGAGGAGAGCTGCTGGGTTTTGGACATGGGGAATTACTGGGGAATCTCAAGTAAGGTTATCCATTGCAATAGATAAGCCTTGAGGTAAACAGAATGATTATGGATTCAGAACATAGGTAAGCTGCTGGGCCAGGGCAGCAGATAGAGCCACGTAGAGAGAATGTGTAGAATGAAAGAAGGCCAGAAAATAAAACTCAGGGATATATACAATTTTTACCAGCTGTATGACTTTGGACAAATGATTAGTCACTTTGTGATTCAACTTTCTTAGGTAAGTAGAGCCTACAATAGTACCAACCTCACATGTAGTAGGGGACTAAGTGAGTAAGGTATGTGGAGTGCTCTGGGGTCCCCTTTTTCCTGAATTCTGTTGGCCACTAGTCCACAAGGACAAAGGGGCAGAAGCAGTGACAGAGAGCTTTGTCTGGACGATGAACACGGTGGAAGTAGCCTCTGGGAGACAGCTTCAGTGAGACAGATCAACTTTATCCAGAGTGAGGGGAGATACATAGGATGGGGACAGAGGCTGGGGCATCACCTAATTTGCATTAAACAGCACGATCCTATCATACATTTCCTAGTCCAAGTCTTAGTTATCATATGTGAAAGCACAGTCCTATTGCAAAGCTCCTAGCACAATGTTTACTTACCATATGGGTGGCAGAGGGAAAGTTTTTGCAGGGAACTGTGTGTCAGGAGTCACACTAGAGATAAGCCAGGCCTCGGCGCCTAGAGACATTCTTCAATAAGGTCAGATGGAGAGCAGGAAGCTCTCTGCTCGGATGGAGTCCTCCATGTTGCCCTGCTCGGAGAGAGCTGCCAGGCCAGGGTAGACTGCAGCCTCTGACCAGCAGGGCCTCCCAGCGGAGGGAGCTCTTAGAGCGGCATTTGGCATATAGTATTCATGGTGGCTCTTTATTTTAATGGATAGAGAAAGAAGGGTCTAAGAGGAAGCTTGTAGTGAAGTGGAAAATTATGCAACTATTTGGGGTTCCAGAAGCTGAGGGTAGAGTTTCAGAAAAGAGGGACTGGTGCAATGGTCTAAATGCTGTGGAGAAGCAAGTCAGATCTAGTGGAAGGTGTCATCCTCAGTTATGTAGGAATCTGAGGCTAGCCTGCACTACATGAGACCCTGAATCATGGTTTCTCTTCCTGTTGCTCAAAAGCAACTTAAAGGACCAAGGGTTTATTCTGGTTTGCAGTTCAGTTGCACAGTCCATCATGGTGAGGAAGTCAAGGCTGCAGGAGCTTGAAGTAGTTGGTCACATCACAGTCCCAATCAAAGAGCAGGGAGCAATTGAAAGCTTGTTCTGCTCACTTTCTCCTTTTTATGTAGTCCAGGATCCCATTTCAGGGAATGTTGCCACCCATAGTGGGCAGGTCTTCCTACCTTAATTAACCAAATCAAGGTACAAGGTATTCCTTCATAGGTGTGCACAGAGGCCAGACCCCCAGGTAATGCTAGATCTCATCAAATTGGCCATTGAGATTAACCATCTCATTTTATCTGGAGGTAGGAGTGGGAGATAAAGTAGGAGGAGAGGAGGAAAAGATGGGAGTTTTCTCCAAAGAAGAAATTTATGCTTGTTGCTTAGAATTGTGAGCCTCCTGAGATCTGATGTTGTGTTTTAGGAGATGTTAGGAAAGCGAGGAAGGTGAGATTTTGGGCGTGAGCAGTCTTCTGACTTGGCCTCATCCTGGTTGCCAGTTGCTGGTCTTGATCTCGAGGTGTGGAATGCAGACCAAATAAAGAGCTGTCTTAGGGCCAACCTTAGGTGCTGACAGTGACGTGAAACATTGCCTTTGCCGCTGGCCCTGAAGCACTGCGAGGCCAGAGAGGAAGGCCAGTGGGTAAAGGAAATGGTTTCCGTCTGTTCTCAGCTTCATCAGCCGAAGGTGTTCTGCAGAACCGTGACTCAGTGCAAGATGTGTGTTGCCCTGGAGCCACTTGGAGTCATCTCTGGAATGACATACTGTCAGGGACCACTGCGTAGGCAGTTCTTCTAGTTGGTTTTGAATAGCGTCTGTCTCCACACAGTTTCTGTCTTCCATCTCCCATTCCACATTGAGGGGATACAGTGAAGAAGAAAGGGGACCAGAAGCCTCCTCTTCAGCCAGTCCTTCTTATCAATCCTTGCTGTGTACCACGGCTTATGCTAAGGGCCTGTAATACAGAGAATGAAGAGGGTCTCTAGGGGTCTTCACCTACCCCAGTAAGCAAAACACTGGGAAGTAAAATGTTTTCTCTGTTAGGAAAAGCTGGGGAACTCTGCTTTATGTCTAACCCTGAGAAGGGTGAACAGGTTCCCGTGCATGTCGTGGACTATCGCATTACAGTATGTGAAAGAGACCCATTGGCAGTGACCGGAGAGTAAGAGGTGAATGTCCCAGTAATAGGCTTTGCAGACTGTTAACCAGAGTTCCTGAGCCTTGAGTGTGCAGCCTCCTGGTGCAAGTTGGTGTTTTTAGAAATGAGGAACAAATGGATGAAAGGAACATGAGTTATGGGAACCAGGGGCACTATCCCTATTTCATGTTTTAAAGCATGCCACACTCTGGCTAGGAGAGTTGCCAAGAAACTGGTTAATAATGTATAGCTTTTAGTTCTAATTTGGTTGATAGTTACTGCCCTTTGAACTTGGTCAGAGGACCATCTTGTCTCCCAAGCCAGAACTATGTAGAGAGACCCTGTCTAAAAACAAAACAAGGGGTTGGGGATTTAGCTCAGTGGTAGAGCGCTTGCCTAGCAAGCGCAAGGCACTGGGTTCGGTCCTCACCCCTGAAAAAAAGAAAAAAAAAAAAATGACAAAAACCCAAACAAAGAAGCAAGTGTGTTCAGTATGATGTGGTAGAAAATGATTGATTCAGTCCCAGCTTCTTAATTAGGTAAGTGTGAATTTTAGGCAGAGTTACTTCTCCCCACTGCCTATGTCTTTACCCAACTGAGAGTTTATATGAAATTTTTTCTGTGATACTCTAGTTTTAAATTTCCTAGTTCTATATTAATGTGAAAAGGTACATAGAAAGCACAGAGTGTAAGAATGAGGTTGGTAGTGACATAATCTTACACACACTTCTCTACTTAGGTTTAGTGCCATCCAGTGTGCAGCTGCGGTCCCCAGAGCTCCTTCAGAATCCTCATCTTCCAGAAAGTTTGAGCAGCCAAACCTTCAGGCAACAAATGAGACACAAGCCAGTGACCTGACCACCAATGGCCATGGTCCACCTGCCTCCAAACAGGCTCCCCAGCAGCCCAAAGGAATTATGGGAATGCTGCTCTCTAAAGCTGGTACTAAAACCCAAGACACCAACAAGGAAACAAAAACAGAGGCTAAAGAAGTAACCAGTGTAAGTCTGCCTGACCTTTTATACCAGTGGGTCCTTCAGAGAAGGGCCCGCAGTTGGTGCCGAGTTCTCTACTTCAGTTTGCACATTCCTGATCGTTGTTTGAGGTCTTGCTCTCAGGTCCAGGCTGACCACAAGCTTGGGCTCCTCTTCCCTTTCTGCCTCTCCAGTCTGAGAAGAGGCATGAGCTACTGTGCCTGGCTTAGTGTGATCCATATTTAAGTAATGCTTGATGTTCTCCTCTGATACTACTTCTCACCAAGACTGGGTTCTCTTACTGTGAAATGGTGATGCCCAGCTTGTACACTAAATAAGATTGATGTGACGGCCATTGCGTGAAAATCGTTCTGAAAAACTGCAAGTTTGAGGATTGTATTGGTGTGACATTTGAGAGCATCTAGCTGGGGTTTTGCTGTATGTGTTCCTTTTTGGCATATTTAGCATTCATATTCTGTTTTATGGGGTTTTTTTCTTGTCCTCATTCTTCATTTGTTTCTCTCTTTTTTATTGTTTAGCAGTCTGAGCTAGCTTTAAGGGCATTAAGGAAATAACTATTTCTTAGTGTGGTGGTATGTACTGTAATCCCAGCGTTCAGGAAGTTGAGGCTACAGGATGAGATCGTCTCAAAAGAAAATGATAAAGATACTATTTAAAAAACCCAGAAAAGTGCAGTTACTGTTGTTACTACTAACTTTCTATTGTTGTCCTTTCACGTTTCTGCTTTTAGAAAGAGGAAGGCAGGAAAGAATCAAACGTTGAGTCCTTCTGTGCACCAGCAGTCCGACCTCTGTGTAAAGCCTCTTACCAGTTCTCTGTGAATCTTACTGTTTCATTTTTATTTTGTATGTGGTTAAACTGGAGCCCAGACTTGTAATTTTCCTGCAGGTCACACTGCTATTAAATGGTAGGCCCAGGATTCAGATCTACCTCTGATAATTTAAAAGTATTTTACCTTCTTTCCCATTGTTTGCCATACATACCACATCTGATTTAATTCTTTTAAAATGTGCTCAAGAAGAGCTTAGATGTATTCATAAATAATTTGTAAAAACAGAAAACAAGCTTTGGGAATTAGCATCAGATACTGTCTGGTGGTCTGGGTTCCTGTTCTAGGTTCTTAAAGCTAACATCTGTACATTTTGCCATGATAAATAGAGTCTGTGCTGTAATACAGAGCTGGTACTGCTGAGGTGGAAAGTTTTGTTTTCTTGACAGTTCCTCACCTAGCCCACTCTGGCTTTGATTTTACTATGTAGCTGAGGATGGCTTTGAACTCTTGATCCTCTAAATTCCACTTCCCTTGTTCTGGAATCACAGTCTTGTCCCCCATGCATGGCTGATAGTGTGCTGTATTGTTAGAGATGATTGAGGCCATGGTACTTGAAGAACAGCCTAAATGTTAGACAAAATTAGAAATGGTGTGTTTTCTGTTTTGTGCTTTTAGGTATCTTCAGCTGGGGGCAAAGCACCGGGAAAAGGGAATGTGATGAGCAACTTTTTTGGAAAAGCTGCTATGAGTAAGCATGTTCATAATTTCTTGAACTCACAGATGAATGTTCTGTAGTAACCTCTGCCTGAGTGGAGGCCGTTGGTCTAGTTTTTGCCCACCTGGATGTTCCCGTGTCCTCACATATTCGCAGTGTGCTGACAAATGTGTTGATGGCAGTAACTGACCGCTCGACTTTCAGGGGATGCCTGAGGGCTGCTGGAGGGTATTTCTGCTTTTACTTCTTGCCTTAGGAAAAGAAAATCTGACTGCATGAAGCTCTTGGAGACGGGTAATTAAAGCGAGAGAGTGGCTGCCTGTGTAGAGTTGCATTTAATATCGTGGATGCTGGCATCAGTTTGGTTGGTGGGACCCTGACTACTAATGCCTTTCCAGGGATCACAAAAACAAACACTTTGCCTTTCTTAAGTCATTTTTTAAGATTACCCACAGCACTGAATTAAATGTCAATGTGAATATAGGCAGTAATGGCCAGGCCATTTAAATGCATCTATTTTTTTTTTTTTTTTAGGAAGGAAAGGCCTCCTTTATTTAAATAAGAATTCTTTCTTAATGGAAAGAGCCAATAGTTACATATTTTTATACTTCTCATATCAAGTACACATCCCCTGGGGTTATGTGGCAGAATACCAAGAAGAATGTAGGAACCACAGGGTACTTACCACACACTTTCTTGGAGCTTCAGTTTTATAGAGATCTGTGGCTTCGTTGCATGCCTGGCCAAGCAGAATTAGTCTGGATTCTGCTTTGCCATGATGGTCAGGTTGATACTCCGTGGGGACTGGAATGATAGTGTTTTCTTTGCTGTGGAAGCTCTCAGAAAAAAATGTTTTGTGTTGTGAAAGTATAAAAAATGTGGTTCTTGGAAGTGATCCAGAAACATGCTTTGGTGGCGGTGCTGGCACGGGCGCAGGAGGTCCCTGTTTCTGTGAGCGCACATCACCACGCCTCGACTCTGCGGGCCGGGCCTGGTGCACATCACCACGCCTCTACTCTGCGGGCCGGTCCTGGTGCGCCGCACTCTGTCCGATGCCATTGCGTGACAGTTTTGACGCTCTTGCTGTCGTTTGTAACCTTCAGATCCAGTGAGATTTAAAACTTCTTTTGATTATTTGTATTTGTGTATATCTGTGGGGACATGTTCACATGAGTGCAGTTTCCCATGGAAGCCAGAAGAAGGTGTGGTATCCCCTGGAACTGGAGTTACAGGCTGTTGTGAGCTGCCTCCTGTGGGTGCTGGGAAGAATAGATAGAACATGCTCATAACTGCGGAGCCACTCTGGTCCCCAGTGAAGAACCTTTTGTATATCATTTAAAAAATACGTAAAATACGTAAATAGTTGTTAATAGTAGAAAATGCCAAATTATACAAGTGTTGATTATATACCTGCTACATGCTTGGCTCTATTGCACATTGATGATAAAATGGAAAATAAGACAAAACCCTTTGCCTGTGGATAGATGCAGACAATGAAAGGTGACTTAGCCTTAAAAAGAACAAAATGTTTGCTTTCCTAGTCCATTTGGGATATTTTAGTGGGAAAGTTTGAAAAGCACAGATAAGAACAACAGAATTTAAAAATGAAGCAATGGTACCCCCATTGGGCTAATGAAGCCCACCATTTAGGTTTCTCACATAAACGCTCAAAAAAGTGAATTTTATATTCTGATCCATCTACACTATCAAAGAACATACATGCTTTTAAAAACTATTGTACTAACCTGTACATATCAGCCAAGACTAAGATAGGTGGTTTTCCTTTCTTAGTAGGTAGATGATTAAGCTGTTACAGAACAGATAATGCAAACAGCCTTTTGAAGAATTCCCACTGTGTATAGCTTTCTCATTGTATAGTGATGCATACCTATCACTGGGTATGCATAAGGCTTGATTATTCACTTCTGTATTTCTCAGATGGCTGGGCCCTTCCTGTCCTGCATGGCCGCTTATGTGGTGTCTCATCTTAATATAGGGACCCATGTCAGGAGTTGAGCTAACTGAGGCCCATATCCAGTGACACCTTTGGTAACTCACTTAATGTTTATACCTGATAGTAGTCTTATAAATGTTATCCCAGTTCTCACAAAGAAAAATGACTTTTAGACTTGCCCAGTGGGAAGCAGGTTTTGAATTAATTTTGTTTTATCATTTAAGGTAGTAGTGAGATAGGACTATTCAGGCATTAAAAGGTAGGATACAGGGCTTGGAGAGATGGCTCAATGATTAAAAGCACTGGCTGCTCTTCTAAAGACTTAGGATCAATTCCCAGCACTCATGTGGTGCCTCATAACTATGTGTAATTGTAGTCCCCGGGGATCCAGTGCCTCTTCTGGCCTCCACAGGCATCAGGCATGCATGTGATATACAGACGTGCATGCAGACAAAATACCCATACAAGCAAAATAAATGACTTTTTAAAAGTAGAATAGAAAAGATGTTGCTGCGAACTTAGCTGTCAGCCCATTTTCAAGCTTTACTCTTGAACATCATGACTACCTGGAGCTCTCTTTTCCTCATTTGAAAATAAGACGATACTTCACAAAGTTGAATTTAGAGGCTGTCAAGCCTGAGGACCTGAGTTTGATCCCTGGAATCTGCATGGTAGAAGGAGAAAACCTAGTCCTCTAACCTTCACACTTGTGCCATGGCATACGCATACCCAATGTACACACAATAAATAAACAGATATAATTAAAAACAGTTCTTAACCCAAACGTTGAATTTGGTATTTTGAAGCCGTGTTTGCTGTCTTTAGGGCTGTGGTGTATGAGACATTAGTGGGGGTCAGAAATGAAGATCATTGATGTTTTCTCAATCAACTGTGCTCTTTTTTAGGACAGGGACTGCTTTTCTTCCCTTGCTCCTAACATGTTACCTGGAACATAGTAGACTGTCACAGTAATGATAGATTAATATTACATGATGGACCATATATATATATATATATATATATATATATATATATATATATATATATCTCATCTCCTATACCTTTTTGTAGATAAACTTAAAGTCAGTTTGGATTCAGAACAAGGAGCGAAAGAAGGAAAAACAGTGGAGCAGCCTCCAGTGTCTGTCACTGAACCAAAGCCGGCAGCTCCCACAGCTCTGAAGAAATCGAGCAGGAAAGCAGAGCCTGCGAAGATCCAGCAGAGGGGGAAGAAATGGTAGGAAAATTTGTCACTGGGGAGGGGTGTTTTGTGGAGGGAGAAGGTCCCTTTGGGCTTTCCACAGCAGGTAGGTTAGTTCAGTGCTAACTCCTACTTAATATTGCTAGAGTGAAGAGAGAAAGAAGCCAGCAGCTCATCTCGTGAAGCAGGACCCCAGGGCAGCCAGTTTGGGAGATCCAGGACCCAGGGCCACATTTTGTTCCCACTGCTGCAAATTGATCGTCTTTTCCCCTAGACTTCAGTTTAAGTGTGTAGACACCGTGAAAGTGTGTGTGTGTGTGTGTGTGTGTGTGTGTGTGTGTGTGTGTGTGTGTGTGTTTCACATCAAATTACCCAGAGAGAAGTTACTGTTGCTAGTCCAGTTTAAGAGAAGAAGTTCTTTGTTTTCTTTTTATATCAATGAGTTTATTTTTCAAGTGGTAAAATGTAATTAGAAAAGAAAATAAAAAGCACACAAGCTGTTAAAAATGGATCCAGGAGTTTGAGACACTACCTCATAGCTGGTAGGAATTAGTCTGTTGAAAGAAATTCTAAAGGACACTGTCAGCACTGATAGGCCCACAAAGAACCAACTTTTGTGGTAAAGTTGGAGCAACAAAATAGTGACATTTCAGAGGGGTAAGGCTCTGTCCAGTGGGGCTTACCTCCCAGGAGCACAAAATATACGTGGATTAAAATGTCCCCAGCCATGATCACAGCCTTACTCACTGGTGGAGGCCGTTACCAGGCATGTACTCAGTGTCTCCTTTACCAGGTTAAAAAGTCTTTTTTCTACTCCAAGTTTTCTTAGAGACTTTAACTCATCGGTTTTAAATTTTAACATGATTTTTCTGCTTTTATTGAGGTGGCTCATAAGAGTTTTTCTGCTAATCTGGTGGGTTATACTGATTGACATGAAAATGTTAAACCAGCCTTGCATTCTTAGGATTAGCTCCCTGATCATATTTATTGTTTTTACACACTGCTGGATTTGTTAACATTGCCCTAAGGGGGTTTTGTTTATATGTTTTTGAGGACTACAGCTCAGCCATTTTCTTTCCTGGTAATTGGCTAGTTTTAGTATCAAACTTGTGTTAACTTCATACATATAGAGGAGTTTCCTGTTTTCCAAAGGAATTTGTGAATCTTATTTTTTTTTACATTTATTTATTTATTTATTTATTTAGAGTGTGTGTGTGTGTGTGTGTGTGTGTGTGTGTGTGTGATATGTGTGTCTGTACACACCATGGCACAGAGGACATAACTTGTAGGAGTCAGATTTCTACATCCACAGTGTGGGGCCTGGAATAGAACTTGGTTCATTAGGCTTGGCAGCAAGCACCTGGATCTGCTGAGCCATCTCTGGCCTTATGCAGACATACTTGTGATACATTTAAATATTTAATAAAATATATCAGTGAATCTGGGCCTGGGTTTTCTTTATAGTGTGTGTGTGTGTGTGTGCGTGTGCACATGCACGTGTGTGCGCCTGCCTATGAGAGCTTCTTTATATAATGTTACTCAAATTTCCTAGTTCTTTTTGGATTAGTTTTGAGTAAGTTGTGCTTTTAAAAGGATTTATTTCCTCTAAGTGCTTGAGCTTGTTAAAGTTGCTCATAATCTAGCCTTGTTCTTGGAGTATTGGTAGACTGTAGTTCTGACTACAGATTTCTTTATTCTTGTTCTTGGAGTATTGGTAGACTATAGTTATGACTACAGATTTCTTTATCCTTGTTCTTGGAGTATTGGTAGACTGCAGTTATGACTACAGATTTCTTTATCCTTGTTCTTAGAGTATTGGTAGACTGTAGTTCTGACTACAGATTTCTTTATTCTCTAATTCCCACTTGGAAATACATGTTTTCCCTCTGTTGTGAAAGGCTTATTGATCTTTTCTCCTTAACCTAACAGCTTCAAGCTTCACTAGTTTTCTTTCTTTTCGTTGCATTGCTTTCTGCTCCAATGTTGATGCCCTTTGGCTTAGTTGGGTTTACTTTATTCTTTTCCTAGCTAAAGTAGAAAAAAAGTTGATGTTCAAAATTAAATAAGACATAGGTACTCAATGATAGGAAGACTATGGTTTACATGTATTTGTCTCTAACAGATTATTTATTGATGAATGCTGTAATGGAGAAAGCAGACAGAGAAGCTAAATACTGTCAAGAGAGTCTGGGTTTTTATGACATCATTGGATGACTTTACGGTCTTGTCTGTGCCTCTGCTCACACTGTCCTTTCACTGTAGAATATTGCCTTCCCTTCCTACCTGTTGAATATCTACTTAGCTTTTAACAGTTATGTCCCACAATGTTATTTGTCCATTAAATTTTATCATGTTGTGTAATAGCTAGTGCACTTGGCCAAGGTGTGTTCGTCTTGGAGGCAAGGTTTCACTGTGTGGCCCAGACTGGCCTCAGTCTTAGAATCCTCCCACTTCTCTGCAGAAATCAGAGGCGTGTGCCACTCTGTCTGGCCTGCCAGGGCTTCTTGAGAAGAGCCTTTCTTTCCTGGTCTTTGCATTCTGGTTGTTTAGCTGCTTATTTACGTATGCTAAATGACTGAAAGGCCAATAGAGGGGAAGAGGCATTGACAGGACTCTAAACCGGCCTGTCCAGAACTGGTGGAACCTTTTATTCTGGCTACCCTATCAAGTGATAGAGTTGTGGGTGGCTAACAGTTTATATCTCCAAAGGATCAATCTTCCTGCTGGGCACGGTGGTGCACCACTTGAGAGGCAGAGGTGGGAGGATCTCTGAGTTGGAGGCTAGCTTGGTCTACATAGTGAGTTCCAGTACAGCCAGGGCTACCAAAAAACGTGTCTCAAGCAAGCGAATTAGTCTTTCCTTACCTGTTTCGTTGTTTTCTACCCTCCGCAATTATGACTGTGAGCTCTAAAAGAAGTTGCATAGAAACGTATTCATACTTAAACATACATATACTTTTTGTTCTGTGTAACATGCTTAATTTATTCCCTGATGGCAACAGGGGGAAGCGAGTAGACCTCTCTGATGAGGAAGCAAAGGAAACCGGAAACCTGAAGAAAAAGAGGAGAAGAATCAAGCTTCCTCAGTCCGATAGCAGTGAAGATGAAGGTAGACATTGCATTAATTCTTGTTAGGGATCATTTCTTGGTTCATGCTCAAGGATCTAAAATTTTCCCTTACTGTGAGCTACAATGAGAGCAGTGGTCCTAGCATGAGAGAATAGTTCGCTTTGAAATCTACTGCTGCCTTTTGATCAGAATAGTGATCATCTGGTAACTTGTGAAAATACAGAAAACAGAGAAAGAGTGACCACTTTTACACGTACTATCTAAGCCCTTTCTTTTCTCTTTAAGGCTAGTGTTCCTCTGGCTACCTTCATGCACATATTCTAGACACACCAATCAATGAAACTGGTAAACTGGAAGACCATACATAGTGTCTCTGCTGAAAGGGGGTGGCACTGTGGCCCGTTCCAGGGTCAGGGTATGGATAGTGTTGTAAGACAAGCAAGCAGAATAAGCAAGGATTTTCTTTACAGGAAAATTAATATGCTTTTAAAACAAATATCAAGTACTCTTAATTTTTTTTAAAGTATGTATATAGGTGTTTTGTTTATATGTTTGTATGTGTACCATATGCATACAGTGCTCAGAAGAGGGCATTAGATTTCCTGGGACTAGAGTTACAGAAGGTAGTGAACTGCCTGCCATGTGGGTGCTGGGAATTGAACTCAGGTCCTCTGGAAGAGCAGCCAGTGCTCTTAACCCCTGTACCATCTCCCCAGCCCCAATAACAAATATTCTTAAGATCTTACCCCAAACCAGGTAAAGTATGTAGAAAGAACTATAGAGAAAGGTTCATGGGCTACATTGTGCTATCCAGGACACCTGGAGCTATCACAGACAGTTTTCCAAGAATTAAGGTGTAATGTATCTGGTCATTTCACCTCATTGGAAGAGATCCAACATCATAGAAACACACATGAACAATGTAAATAAACCAGTGAAAGAGATTAGAGAAGAATGATTAATGCAGAAAGGAAGGTGAGCTGTCAAGGACAACACTGAAGATGGAATAGTTGCTGGAAACTGAGAACGTGATAGAGGCTCTGCCCAAAGGGCGCTAACTGTGCAAGTGAGCGGAAAAACACTAGAAATGCAGATGGATGAGCAGACCTGGGAACTAGAACCGAGAGCTTGGACCTGTCTGTGCTAGAACCATTTGTTCTGGGTTGAGAGAATGCTAGTCACGGGTGGGTTAAGGATCACAGCCTCTGATGTTCTGTGAGGGAACTAGGACCTTTCAGAAGTGTGGATTTTAATGGCTTTTGAAACAAGCAGGGGCAAGGCTTACCCAGAGGGGTAGTTAATGTTTTTTCATTTCATACCTTTATGAAAATGAGTGAGATTACTTAAAAGAAGATTCTAGAGTTTCTGAGTGAAGTCAAGTTCACCAGAGAACACCTGGCCAGTTAAGAATTGAAAGACATGAAACTCTGTGGGCACATGGGAAAAGAACGAGGAAGTAAACTTAGGAAACTGGTAACTGGAGTAGTCTTCCCTGTTACCAATCAGGAAAGCAAACTGGGGGAGGATTCCGGACAGACGTTCAGCCAAAAGCTTGATGTACCTTGAGAAGATGAATAGGGGCTGGGGATGGCTTCATCAGTAAGTCTCTGCCTGGCAAGCATGTAGGTCTCTCCTGTCGCCTATGACAAAAGCACGCACTTACAGTCCCGGCGCTGGGGAGATGAGACAGGAGAATACCCAGAGCTGGCTGGGCAGTTAGCCTAGCCTAATGAGCAAGTTCCAGATCCAAAAACCACGGGCAGCTCCTGAGGAACAGCATCTGTGATTGAGCTTTGGCTTCCACAAACATGTACAAACATGTACACCCCCATACACGTAAACATGCACATACTCTTTCCACTCACAAAGCTAAAACTGAATAGTATTCTTGAAAGTACTAGCTCTGAATTGAGTCCTGGGTTGATTGAGCACCAGTGCATACTTCTGAAATGTTCTGTTGTTCTGTAGCCCACACAATAATACTGCCCATGGGCTAGTAGAAATGTGATTGCGGTTGCTTAGTTGGGAAAGGAGTGCAAAATATGTGATGGAGGTAAGCGGCACATGACAGCAGGACAGAGAGCAGGAGCCCTCGGGTTCTTTTCTCTGGCAGAGAGAGTTTTTGGCGTCTGACTGAACTTATAAAAGTCTACAATTTTATTCTCTAATTTCTGTGTCTGAAAGCCAGCAGGATTTGATTTTGAACCTTTACACAGTCTCTTTTTATTTGTGTTCCACTGATTATAATAGCTTGATCTGCCGTCTCAGGCTAGTCGTTAGCAGATGCACGGCAGGCGTGCAGACAAGGCCGCCAGAGTCAAACCGACCCAGGTTAAATCTTCCTGAGCGCTTACCAGCTGATGTTAGGCAGGTGCCTTAACTTGAGCCCTTGTTTACTTCCAGAGCTGCCGTGGCACTACAGACTAGCTTTTTGTGGCCATTAAACAGCACATCAGAAATGCCAAGACAGGGCTCGACATTTCCCACTCTGCCCCTCCTCCCACCCATTGTATGTTGAGTGTGTTCAGCGTGACAGAGATCCTGTGTGTGAATCTCCTCGGCCAGTTCCTTCTCTTCCCTACTGGGAAGGCTCTCCTTCACCCTGGAAGGGCCAGAGCATCTTCAGTAGTTCTACATATTCAAAACAAAACAAAACATGCCAGCCCCAGAAAGAAATAACATTCATATCTGTGTCGCTAGGAAGAAGTAGTTTTTATGGCTGTGTTTTCAGTCCTTGCAGGTTGTTTGTGGAGAGTATTAATAAGCACATCACACACACACACACACCCTTTTTTAGTTAAGGATAGGTATAAAAATATATATTGAGTCCTAGGAAAGGGAGATTGCTTTCCAGGAATTGAAATTACTAGTCTCTGCCAGAGGACTCTTGACAAATAAGTGGTTACATTGCTGGTTGCTGAAATTAGTTTTCCCACAGTTCTTTTTCTGCCCCAGTAAAAGCTACTCTCTGGAGAGGATGCTTCCCCTCTTGACTGTTTCTCGTCATTGAGTACATAATACACAAAGCCTCCGTTATATTTACGTCAGTAAGAATGTGTTGGGTCAGAGTGCTTGGCTTAATAGTCAAGACTGAGTATGGGCAAGTTCTTACACAATTCCTTTGAATCTCAGTCAAATAATGATTTGTGGGGTTATTATGAAAATGAATGATTAATGTTTATAAAGTAGAAAATGTTGGTTGCTTATCCTTCCTTAAAATATTTAAGTTTAAACACAGTACTACATCCACTCAGTTTTTAAAGTCAGATACAACAAAATTTCTAATGATAATCCCTACCATCTGAATCACTGAACTGACTTATTGTCAGCATTCTCCAGCTGCCTTCCATCTCTCAGGATGTGTTGAAATCTCTTTATTCCTCAGTTCTCTTCTCTTCCAGGGGGATTATGACATTTTATTACTGTATGATTCTTTGGGAGGTGGGCAACTGGGAAGTGGGAGGTTGGAACTCTCTGCCCTTGACCTGGTATTCCTCACCCCACATTTTATTCAGGAAGTACTTATTCTCCTTGGCTTACAACAGAGTGCCTGTTGCTGTGTGTTCAGGGCCAGGACAACTGTGGTGTCCTGCCTCGTTGGACTGTGAGTCTGGGGGTGCGTAGGTGAACAGTTGCGTGCAGTGCTAGGAGGGTCTGAGAGGACCATGGCGTTGTTGGCCTTGGCTCAGTCACCCCCTGAAGGACTGAAAGTAGAACAGAGTGCCTAGGTTTATCACCAGGTCTTCACAACGCCTCTCCTTTGGCTTCCTTGCTGTCTAGACTTCCCTCAGACCACTGTGGCCCCACTTCCTAATGAGCCATGACTTCAGAACATTGAGTTCCTGGTTGTGTGGTGTGACACTGCGTAGACTCCCATCATGCACTGGCTTCCTGGAGCTGGGCTAACAGCTCGACCGAAGCTGCTCTGCTTTCTTTTCTTTCTCTTGTTTCACTGAGCTGTAAAGTTAGGGCCTGGTTCATACCTGAAGTGTCTAATGGATTGCCTTGTTCTGGCTCTCCTTCTGCTTCACCTCTTTAGGTCATTTGGCCATGAACCCTCCACTGTCATCATTTTTAACACTGACCTAATCAGTTGGAAGAAATTCAGATTCAAGATTTGTGCAAAGAATTTGAATGTAGCCAGGAGATTCAGGGAGCAGGTGAGGCTAAGCAGCTCAAGTCCCACGGCCAGCTGTGTCTTTGTGGTGATTAAGCAGCAGGTCGGGGCTTAGGGAGGTTAGCTCAGTGGTAGAGTGCTCACCTAGTAAGGATAAGGCCCTGGGTTCAGACCTCGGCCCAGCTTCTAGGGGGTGGGGGAAGATAAAATCACAAAAAAGACGACCCCCCCCCCAAAAAAAGAGGCAGTAAGTCTGCTGAGGATCCTCGCTTCCTCTCTGTGGCCTTTTCTCGACTTGTTTCTTTACTGAGAAACTGGGACCCTCCTACAGTGCGCCATTGTCAGATACTATTTCCACAACGTTCTTTCTCTCCTCACTTCTTTCCTGCCCATTCTCTGTGTGGCAACGCAAGGCTTATAAGGTGTATCAGTGAGGGAGTCACTAGAAATAATCCCATACAGACTATTACGCAGGTTTGGGTGTTAGATCGTTTGTGGAGATCAGCTTTCAAAAGGTGATTCTTCCCAAAGTCGCGTGTAATGCCAACTGGACAGTCTGGGTCGAACAGTCATGTCAGCCATTTACAAGTCACCCTCAGAGGATGGCCACAAAGATACCACTGAGCAGCATTGAGTATAACATGCTGTCTCTACTGAATGAGAGGGAAGATGGACGGTTGGCTTACAAAGGTGTGGAATCACACTGACCTGGGTTTAAAACCTGTCTGTATGAGTTGTGAGCCTTTGTCAAGTGAAGGAGTCTCTCGAAACCTCTATTTACTCAACTGGATTATGGGAGCAAGATCTGTTTCTTAGGTTGTGATGAGAATAAAGTGAAACTTCTGACACGTGGTAAGTGGTCGGTATATGTCAACCAACTTCATGCTCTGATCTTGCTGTACAGTAAACACTCGGCTAAGAGAATCTAAGGTATTGCCAACTTTAGAAATTCTCGATTCTCCGATTGTAATTCTGAAAAATTATTGTATATTTAAGTCTCTGACTGCAGTCCTTGGTTGTCGTGAGTTACTGCTTACAAAACACCCTTGGTAAGCAGAAGGCAGATGCAGTGCAGAAGGCATTGCGCCTGTTAAAGCTGGTAGCTCTCTTCCTTAAGCTTGTTCCATTTTCCCAGTCTTCCCAGACTCTCCTGAGATGTACGAAGCAGAGTCACCATCTCCACCTCCTCCCGCATCTCCACCTCCTCCTGCATCTCCACCTCCTGATTCTGTGCCAAGACCTGAGCCCCCTCCTGCCAAGGTAAAGCCAGCACAAGGCTCCATTCTGTGTGTCTTCTCTCGCGAGACTTTGCAGTCACCATGGAATCATGTCCTCTTCTCTGTGCTTCTCCAGTGCCGGTAGCCGGCTCATGTTTCATCACGCTTCCCCTCAGATTGGCCAGATGGATACGATTCTCTTCTTAACTGAGGGGAGACATTGCCTTAGGAAGCTTGCAGGGCTATCTCTGGGTGACCATCACCATGAGGGCTGCTGTGCTACCCAGCTCCAGTTGGAAATGTGCAAAAGGAGGCCCTGCCTCCACCAGGGCAAATTGTGAAAGATAAAAGGAAACAAAACTCAAATTTGTTCTTAGGGAAAGGACTAGATGAGAAAAACCACAGCAAACAGCAGCACTCGGTTTTGAACGCTCTTTACTGTGGCTTGTCTGCATCCACTTTATCAGTAGACATAGTGGATGGTGAAGTGTGCAGAGGATGGTGCTGACAAGCCTCCTTTCTTTGTAGCCACCAGTTTTCTTGAACTCAGTCTCAGAAGGTTAGTGTAAGTCTCGTACTGGTGTAGCCAAAGAAATGGGATGAGAGACAGTGGAGATGAGAGCGAACTGATGATAGTCAGGCATGCTTCTGGCTCGACTAGTTAGGTATGGTGTTCAAATGCCAAGGCTGAGCCTGCAAGGATCTCCTGCAAGGGTGCACACTGAGAGCCCCTGGTCTGCTCTGGGGGCATCTACCCCAGCTCTCCTGGAATGTCCTTAGACAGCATATTGCAGTGGTATACTTCCTTGTCTCTCTCTTCCACTAAGGTCCATAATCTGTATGTCTTTTTCACCAAGAACTCAAATCTTTCCTAAGCATATTGCTTCTCTGTGTGTAAACAGGAAGACGCCAGGCCTGTGCATACAGTAAGCATTACGTGCCTCTGCAGTATAGAGTTGCTTGTTCTACCTTTTATCAGAATGGCATGGTAGGAGGTGGGTTTTGTACATTTAACATCTTCTGTTATTTTTTCTAGAGCTTCACTGGTCAACGTAATATTGTTACTCTCTGATCTTCTAGAGTTCAAGTGGAGAAAACAAAAGAAAACGGAAGCGTGTCCTGAAATCTAAAACCTTTGTGGATGAAGAGGGCTGCATGGGTAAGGCAAATGTTTGGTGTCAGGCTTGAGTCCTTTCTTTAGGGAGGCACTCGGGTCCCGGGCAGAGCAGGCTGTCGGGGTGAGCGCACATGGGCTTAGCCCATGTGGTGCTGCTGCTCCTGTGCCATGAAATGAAGCTCTGGGAGTGTGGCCTCCGAGTCACGTCCTCCTGCTTGAGGATTTCCTTGAGCCATGAATTTGAAGAGAGCTATCTAGAGATACCTCTTTTGCCTCCTGGTAGGGTCTTCATGAAGATTCAGATGAGGTGCTTGGAAGCTACTGTCTCCCACATTGAGAAACACTTGTGTTTTAAAGACTGATTGTGTTAACATCTCAGTAGTGGAAAGGAGGCTTCCCACAGATGATTAGACCTGGAGAGAGTTAAGTCTCTGGTGTCCAGTGCCGTTCATCCTTAGAAGAGCGTGACTTGACCTCCCTGCTTCCTGTGTGTTTCCAGTTTGTGCCAGGTCAGGCTCAGGTCCAAAGCCTGTGGAGATGCTCAGATCCAACACCATGCTCTTGTATCTGGAGCAGTTGTGGGTTTAGGCTGGTAAAGCTCTGGCTGGTAGAAGCATGGATTGTGAATGGATGGATCTCTCCCACCCTCTGGTTCCCGAATAAATACTCAGAGACTTTTATTAATTATAAATGTTTGGCCGATGGCTCAGGCATATTACTAGCTAGCTCTTACATTTAAATTAATCCATTTCTATTAATCTGTGTATTGCCACGTGGTCTGTGACTTACCAGTTCTTTCACATCTTGCTTCTTGGGTGGCTCTCAGCATCTCCTGGACTCAGACTTTTTCATCTCTGTCTTTAGTGTGAATGTACCTTCTAACCTCATTCTGCCTGGCTAGTGGCCAAAACACCTTTATTTATCAACCAGTGAGAGCAACACATATTCACAGAAAGACCATCCTCTAGCAATGAATAATTCCTTCTCTTTTCTTATGGCACCTGCCACAAAGTGGCTTTTCTAGAGAAGTTTTTAATGCCTGCCCGCCTGCCCTCCCTTCCTTCCTCCCTTCCTTCCTTTTCTTTCCTGTTTAGCCTTGGCTGTCCTGGAACTCACTCTGTAGACCAGGCTGGCCTTGAACTCAGAGACCCTCCTGCCTCTGCCTCCTGAGTGTTGGGATTAAAGGTGTGGCCACCAATGCCCAGCTGCCCTGCCCTTTTTGATTTCTATTTTCTTGTTCAAATTTTTGTCTTTAAAAGATTGATTGGCTCTGAAGAATCAGCTCCTCCTCAGCAGGTGCTCATAAAGCTCCTGGAGACATTGTATTGGTTGCAGGCCCTCTCTTGTTATCCCCACCTCCTATTCTTCTGACAGGCCTGTTACTTTATCATATAATTGAGGAGTAACATTCTTATTTGTTTGTTTGTTTCTTTCTTTATTCTCTGAGATAGTTTTTCCGAGTAGTTTGGCTGTCCTGGAACTCAGTCTGTAGACCAGGCTGCCCTCAAACTCAGAGATCCGCCTGCCTCTGCCTCCCGAGTTCTGGGATTAAAGGTGTGCGCCACCATTGCTGCCCAGCTAAGGGGAGTGACATTCTATACATATGGCACCCTCTCTTCTTGAGAATCTGTGTGTTCTGGACTTTGGTATGCTTTTATGATATTTTTGTCTCGTTTTATTTTTTGCTTTTAGCATTTAAATATAATCAGAATGCTTTAGCCATTAGAGGTGATGTGTGTGTGTGTGTGTGTGTGTGTGTGTGTGTGTGTGTGTGTGTGTGTGGTATAAATTGAATTTTTTAATTTGGAGACAAAAGCATCAGTGCCAGTTTTTTCTCCCCCCTTTACTCTAAAAGAAGAAAGTAAAGGATATCTTTACTTTACTCTCTAGGAGAGTTCATCAGGACTCTGTGGCTAATTATTTCTTGATTTGTTCAGAACAAAGCCCTGGGGTTTGAGCAGTGTGGGCTTGTGTCCGGCCCTTCTCCACACGGGACTATTAACAGCCTTGGAGGCAGCAGTGAGAGCCGCTCACATAGCACCTTTTTATACGGTTTTTAGTCCAAGTGCAACCTAATGGGTCTTGGCTCTGGTTACCAACCAGGGCTGCGCTTTCCTCACTCCCCTGGCTGTGCCAGTTGTCCTAGCACGGGCTCGCCCCGCCCTGCTAGAGTCTGGTGGTTCCTGTGGGTTTGTAGCAGAACTATGGAGTTGGCCCTAAGCTAGGTTGGGGTGAATTTCTGATCAAGGAATGGGTCTCTAGGATCAGAGAAGCTGAATGGAGTGTTGTCCACACAGACTTTTTGGAATGGCAGCCAAGGAAAGTGGCATGTTCAGCGGACATAAAAGTGCTGTGGTTTGAAGTTCAAATCTCCTCTGTCCTGCAGTTTGAAGCAGCAACAGCTTGGACTATAGAATCGACCTTTTAAATTTTGGTACATCAAGTGTCAGCTTAAGACATTTGGTTGGATGGCCTGGCTGGTTTTTAACTTTCCAAGCAGTGTACCACATGACGTCAGCTCTGAGACAGCCAGTGATTTCACCAGGAAGTAAGGAAATAGCGAGGAATTGATCCTGAAGTATGGTGCTGTCGACATGCTGCCATTGTGTGGGGAATACAGCTCCCGACGTAACAGGAGCGTACTACCAACTGAAGCCATTTCCTTTCTACAGACGGCTCTTCAGAGCTTCTTAACAGAAATAAATAACAGGTCATAATTGTGTTCATGAATTGAGTTGTAGGACACATGTAGCATAGTGCATGTTGGGAGTGGAGGGTGTTCTGGGATTGTGCTTGCTGGACTGTAGGTGTGCCATGCCAATGTTTCAGTGTCTAATCAAAAAACTGACACATTTCTCTAATATTGCTGGCTACGTGAAGTACCCGAAAGTCTTGCTAAAATTGAAATTCTTGTGCATTTTTCTTTTCTTTTCCTTTCTTCCTTTGTAGGCATGGTCTTACTACATAACTAGGCTGATCTCATCAGGGTTCTCTTGCCAGTCTCCAAGGGCACAGATTTCAGGTGTTTGCCCCCACACCTGACTGAGATGCTGAGTTTCTAATTAGATTACAAAGAGAGTCCAAGTCCTCTAGTCTTCGTTTTCTTTCTTTCTTTTATTTCTCTTCCTTCCTTCCTTCCTTCCTTCCTTCCTTCCTTCCTTCCTTCCTTCCTTCCTTCCTTCCTTCCTTTTTCGAGACAGAGTTTCTCTGTGTAGCCTTGGCAGTCTTGGAACTCTCTTTGTAGACCAGGCTGGCCTTGAACTCACAGAGCTCTACCTTCCTCTGCCTCCCAAGGGCTGGGATTAAAGGTCTGTCAGTGTCCTTGGTCCTCTAAGTGGGAAGGAGTCATCAAAGTGGGTTCTTGGTTCTTGAAAGTAAAGACAAATCATAAAATCTCCTAGAGAAGATCTTAGGTGTTCTGTAGCCCTATTGGGATTAAGTGGCTATGGGTGAAGCAGTAGCCAGACCTCCAACAGAGTACACCATGAAGAAGAAAAAACATTGCTAAGTGTTTGCCAAAGACTGCCAGGTCCATCCATATATACTGAGGGTTAGTGTGCTCCTCATTTTCATGGAGAGGGGAACATTGATTCATCAAGTGTCACCCAGACCAGCAATGTTTGTGTTGTTTGGGAATGTGTTTAAAAACAAGTTCTCAGGTTCCACCACAGACCTGCTGCTGAGCATGGAACTTTGGAGCTAGAACCCAGCAGTGTTCCCATGAGCTAGCTCCCTAGGTGATCCAGTGCATGTCCACAGTGGGACAGCCCAGGCTTTAGACACAGATGGTTGAATCCCCACGCCTGAACCTCTGAAACAGTTTAGCTAGTCTATTTTAATTAGAAGGAATTACCAGTGAATCAGAGTGTGAAACCACCTCTGTTCTTTGATGGGGGAAATATGCCTGTGACTTATGCTTCAAGCACTTTATGTGTATGACGTTACTTTTTCAGTGGGGAGATGTTTCCCTTCACTCTTTCTCCATCACTTGCTGTATCCAGAAAGGCTGAAAAAGGATCCAGATGTTTCTGCTTTAGTTCTCATCCTAGGGAGGTGACACTGTATTTGACCTGTGGCTACTGCATGTGACGCAGTGGGATTAGAGAATGTCTCCATCTGCTTTGGAAAGCATGACTGGAAGCCGCTGCTTCCGAGTGTGCACACTGGGGCTGTTGACTACTCACTGGCATAGTTCTTTCCAGGTTTCCTTCGGGAGGAGTTTGGGGAGTTTTAGTTTTTCATGTGAATAGGGCATGCATGTATGTGCATCATCACATGTATGCCGGGTGCCCAAGGAGATCAGAAGAGAGCAGTTGTGAACTGCCATGTGGGTTCTGGGAACTGAATTTGGGTCTTCTGCAAGAGCAGCAGGTGCCTCTAGCCACTGAACTCTCTCTCCAGCCCGTTTTAATGGTGGAGGAAAAGGCTAAGTATGCCTTTGGCTCATAGGGAGTAAGAAAACCGGTCACTTTGCTTATTTTATCATTGTCTTAAAACTTTCAAATGTATCATCTAGAATGGTTTGTTTGGGAAAGTTTTTTTCATGATGTAGACTCAAATCTTGAGTTCATTAGTAGTCATTCAGTTTCAAGAACTGAGTAGTTGAGTAACAAACCGTGGCTTTAGATGAGAGCAGTGGTTGATACCAGGATGGAGCAAGCTAGAAGCATCCATGGTGGGAGAGTGGCTAGGCGGAGTGAGAGCTCTGGTAGACTAGATGAAGAACTAGGAAAGTGAGTGTTGGAAATGGGCAAGTGTGTGGTCATGGAAATATGACTCAGGAAGCCAGTCAGAGCATGGAGTTAGGATAGGTGTTTGAGATACAGACAGCACATATGTAGAGCTCAGGAAGTTAGCCAGTGTGGACAAGGACCCAAGCAGCAGGTTGGGTCAGTTAGATGGTAGAGTCCTATCGATGACATGGAGACTTAGCTGTGAAGGAGTGGGGTATTCTCCACCCCACCTACAGGCCATGTGACCGCAGGTATTTTCTAGCTGAGGCTAGATGTGTTCTCCCAGGAAGAAAAAACTCAGGACCTGATGCGCGGGACAACTTTCCCTTTGGTAAATGACTCAAGCCATCCTGTCTCTGTTTTTTCCTTACTCCAGTGACTGAGAAAGTCTACGAGAGTGAGTCGTGCACGGACAGTGAAGAGGAGAGTAAGATGAAGACGACCTCAGTACACAGACCCCCTGCCACCGCTGTGAAAAAGGAGCCAAAAGATGAGCGGAAGGGCCCCAGGAAAGGGACAGCTGCTCTGGGCAAAGCCAACAGACAAGTGTCCATTACTGGCTTCTTCCAGAAGAAGTAACTGCTGTCCCTGGTCAGGGGAGAAGCCCGGCAAGTAGAGCCTGTTACTTACTGTGTAAGTTCGTTCGCCTAGCTCCCTGCCTCAAAGCCTGTCTCAAAGCGCTGCTCTGCCGTCACGGGACACGTGAACTAGTTCTGGTTCTTGCAACCAAAAGGGAGTCATCTAGAAGCAGGAGGCAAACGATATTTGAAAAGCTGTTACATTGTAATGAGTTTATAAAGCACAATCTTTGGCCTGCCTAGGAGAATTCATTTGAGAATTACCTGCTGGGCCCCCCTCACCCTGTACCATCCATGTTCCTCTTCTGGTCCTCTGTATTCTGTGAACTTGTGTGACAATGGTTGTATTTTATGGATTCTACTGGATGTGTTCACCACTTCTCCCTTTCCTCTCTACTGCCACACTCTGTCCCCTGACCCCACAAATCTGTTTTTTTGTAAATCTTAGTCAGACAAAAAAGCTGAAGCTGTCTCCGTCATAGAGTAAGTGACACTCAGCTCCAGGCCAGGCCAGTGTGTAGTGTCCATTCCTTCCACAGAAGCTCTCCAGAACTCGGCTCATACTCAGTGGTTAGGACAGAGCACAAATAAAAATGTACTGATGTACCCAGCCTCACCAGAAATGACCAAGAGTCAGCATGGCAGGCACTGGGAGAGCTGCCATGTTGCCAACAGAGGGCATCCAGTCTACTCCCATGTTCATGGTTTCTTTCTCTCAAATGTTCCATTCTCGTACCTAGAGAATAGAACCAATGCAGTGAGATAAACCCGAAGAGAAATGGTAGTTGCCTATTCCTGGAAGGGATGGGGATCTGAAGGTACACATTTCTACACAGATGTTGCTCCTCTGTATTTTCCAAGCCCTCCATTTGCCCAGCAGTACAGGCTCCCCAGGAAGAGATGGGGGGCGGGGCTGACTGGTTATAGATCTAGACAGTAATTAAAACATTTGCTTTTGTACTTTTGTCTGTTCTGACAATAACTGTCAAGCACCCTCCATTATGGCTGGGCAGGAGGTGAGAGCCATCTAGGTTGTGTGGCAGTGGCTTTGCACACTGACTGGGGGAAGGGAGCACAGACGTGATGCGCCCTGATTCACTCTCGGAGGATGAGGGGTGTCTGACCCGACCCCTCCACTGAGGCCTGGCTTGTGTCATGAGAGATGGAAGCAGCTGCCTACTGTTGAAGGTCAGGCTTGGGGCTGACCTTGGCATTGACACAGCTGTTTTAGCAACCAATCACAGGCTTGATTAAGACCAGCAGCTTGGGAGATGAGTCCTGGCCTTCTGTGGAAGGCTCGGGGCCGAAGCTTTGCACATCAAACTGAGTAAAGGTTGGTGCGCTCCAAACCTTTTTTTTTTGAAAGTGGAAAGAGTGTAATGCCTGGACTTAAGCTTGACAAAACCCTTCTGGAGAAGAATCCCTTATTTTAAGTGGTTATTTTTGTCATTGCCTGTAGCCATTTTTCTAAATGGAAATGGAAAAGTACAAGGCAACAATCCAGTCGTTAAAGAAATGTGATTATGATGGGTTTCCTAATAAATCGGAATGTGGACTGGGGCTGTGCTGCAGGTCGCGGTTGCACTCCGAAGGGAGAACGCGAGTCTCTGACCCCTGGACCCAACACCACCTGAGCTCTGAGCTCCTGCAAAGCTGGGCAAGCATCGACTGGTTGCACTTTCTCCCCATTCTATATCGTACTCAACCCCGAGTTAAATAAATCTGAGGTGCTGTTTTGAAACCGTCCTTCAAACTGAGTGTCTGCTGAGTCTGTTCCTGGGCAGCCTGGTGGCTGGGTGTGTGTCACCTGAACGCTGGCCAGGACCCGGCTGGGTTGGGGTTTGTGTTGCTAAACGTGCTGCACCCCCAGTCTGAACTGCACAGGTAGCTGCTGTCGTCACCTCCTTTTCAGTCCTCTGGGAACTAACTCTTGCCTCAGCCAGCCTTGTTTTTCAGTTTATTAAGAGGAGAATCGTCCCGATCTTGCATTCTGTATTGCTCTGGCTTCATCCCTTGCTGGCTGGGTGACGCTGGGCAAATTTCTGAGCCTCGGGTTCCTTAACGAAGTTGAACTAAAATGAGCCACTCGGCGTGCTAAGCTGAACTGATAACTGTAGCCTGAATGTGGTCCACAGCGGCAGGCACTGGGTGCTGCTTCTCCCCATGGCGGATTCAGGCAGCAACCAGCTTCTTCAACTGTTACCCAGTGCACGACCCAAATGCGTCCTCTCAGAGGCCTCCTGGCAGAACATCTGATCAACAGGTGAAGATGGTTATCCTGTTTTATGACAGCTTTTAAAGAGCAGAATTCTCTTTTTTATGAAAAGAAAGGTTTATGGATGGCAGCATTCACTATTCATTAAAACATTTATTATGTCTAACATATGCCAGGTCTGGCCGGAACACGAGAGGACACAAGGGGAACTAGAATGTGTCTTGTCTTCAGGAGCTGGTGGAGACGAGACAATAAAGTGGAGTTGCAGGACTGTGAGTACAGTGAGAGATAAGTGGGGTCTCCCAGCGCTCTCACCAAGGTGGGTCTCAAAGTTAGCCTCTGGAGGAAGAGGCCACACAGGTCTTTGAAGGACATGGATGAGCTTACCAAGAAAGGAGAGTGTGAAGGGTCTCCCAGGCGGAAGAGCATGGCTTTGGGGGTTAAGGAGTCGATTGTAGAATTATATATTTTAATCGCTTCTCAGTCTTTTGGCTAAGATCAAGTGTAGAATTATATTTTTTTTCTTATGTGTATTAGTGTTTTGCCTGCATGTATGAGTGTATATGCATCATGTATGCTCCTGGTGCCCCTGGAGGCCAGAAGAAGGCGTCCCTGAGCTGTCATTTGGGTATTGGAAATGAAACCTGTGTCTTCTGCAAGAACAGCAAGTGCTCTTAACCACTGAGCCATGTCTCCAGCCCCAGACTGTAAACTTTTTAAAACGGGGAAAGACATTGAGATGTGAAGTTGGGGTACCAGTAAGTAGTTTGGATTTTACTCATAGATAATGGAGACCAACTGAAAAATGTTGAGAGGGGTTTTTTAAATCTCATTAGAAGCCAGTTCTCTGTGAGGAGTGACAGTCTGTGTGTCCTGTGTTCTGTATGCCGTGAGAGTGCATCTGTCTGTAAGTGCACGCTGTGTCTGAGGTCTAGTGGGAGAGAGCTGATGGGATTTCAGAAACTCAGAGCTCCAACTGCTTCATTCTGGCAGCTGCCATAGACAGTGGCCTTGTTCCCCAGACCTTCCTCTGCAGCCTGGCTTTCTGTAGCAGGATCGGTTTTTAAGAAGTGGTTTCAAAAGCTGGTAGTTCCTTGACACCCTCAATGATCGAGGCCTCAGCTACTTACAACACACAGAGAGGGATGGGGGCGTGACAGGTCCTCTCTCCTAGCTTTGTTCCTTTAAGAAGACAGTTCTTGTTATACAGGGAGCCGAAGAGGAGCCTTATAAGGAAACAAATTGTTTCTTGAGGACAGGGTAGGGTGGAAGGAGCGCCTAATAACGGATCTGCCAGGAACGCACTCAGTGTCAGACTCGCTTTGGTAAACCTGTCTCTCCTTTCATTGGTTCCGGGATCTCAGTATGCTGTATACTGCAGCGTCTACCACCCTGAAGCCTGCAGGGGCTGCCTGGTTCTGTGGTGAGAAGGCAGCCTCGCTCCCTGAGTTAGTACCCTGGCAGCTCTGTACAGCAGCCCATGCTGTCACCGTGCCCTCTCTGAAGGGCACATTGTACCCAATAACTGCAGTTGGGACCGGCTCTCGCCACTCCCCTGCATGACACTTCTCCCCTCTTGTGTCTCTGTCCAGTTTTTGTGTGTGTGTCCTGAAGTGTGGCCACCCACAGATGACCACCCAGGCTCCTTAGCGAGAAGCTTGGTAGGGCTTCTGGTTTAATTTTCCATTGGATCAGAACCCACCGTGTCTCCAGAATTGCCCTTCCATTTCAAGCCTAAGTGGCCACACTCCCCTCCTCCTCTTATTTTTCTCTCCATCTTGCCAGGCTCCTCGTTTCCTTGGCTCCTGCCACCTCCTTTTTTAAGGCTCAGCGTTCTCTGTGGCTAGCCGGTCTTCAGCTTTTCCTCTGGTCTCTCGGGCCTTCTCAGAGTTCTTCTTCCATGTGGCATGTCTTTTCCTGGACTGCGTTTAAAGGATGGAAAAACTGCTTTGTCTGGTGTCTGCTTCGGATCCTTCGCATGCAAAGCCCCAAGCGTTTGAATGGTAGTCACCCTGGTCCTGGACAAGAGGCTCTGGCGTTTGTAAGAGCCTGGAAGCTGTCGTTTTGGAGAGCAGTTGTATACGCACTCACTGTGTGCATTACAGTGACAGACAGTCCTCAGATGAGTGGTAGGCAAGAACTTAGCTGAGCAGAGCCTGAGTGAGCACAGTGGGCAGTTTCCTAGTTCCCTGCAAAGAGCATCAAAGGATTTGGGAAACCACCAGGGAAGGGTTACCAACTGAGTGGGTTCTCTCAGCTGCCGGAACTTCATTCGACAACACACTGTATAGTCTGTGTAAGGGGAGCATGAGTGGCGGTGTTGAACACACTTCCTGCCCACCCCGAGACTGGAGACTTATGGACAAGTTTTGAGCAGTTTGTACAGTGGTTCTCTGTAGGTTCAACTTGATTATGTAGGCCCAACAGTTTTGGCGTCCTGGATTAGCAGGGTGCTCCGATGGAGACACAGCCTTAAAGCTGAAGGGCCTTGGTTCAGCATTGACCGTAGGCCAGGTTCTGCCCCGGCTTCAGCTTCTTTATTGAAAATGCACAACCTTGCTGCAAACCGTCAGGGAGATAGTTCCTCATATTTTGACACACGAAATTAGGAGAAGAGCTCATTTTTGAGCACCTACTGTGTACCAAACACCGTTGCATGCATTATATATATTAACTAACAACCTCGAGATGGGCACTTTAAAAAAAAGTACTTATTTTTTAGATTTGGAGGCACTGTCTCCTGTGTCCCAGGCTGGCCTCAAATTCACTGTTTAGCCAATGATGACATTAAACTGATCCGCTCCACCTCCTGAGTGATGGGACTGTGGACATAAAACCATTGCAGCCAGTCTATGTGGTACTGGGATGGAACCCAGAGTTTTGTGCGTACTAGGCAAGCATTCTACTAGCTGAGCTTTGTCTCTAGTCCATAGGCACTTTTATTCCCATTTTTGCAGGAGGAAACTGAAGCAGTTTGCTCAAGATCACAGAATTCAGAAATAGCAGAGACAGGATATGTACATCATGACAGTTGGACTCCATTGCCTAGTCTTAACCTCATGCAGTATCACGTGTTGGCTATATGTTAGTTTATCAATCCATACTGTCCAATGATGGCTGATGCTCGTGTGTGTGTGTGTGTGTGTGTGTGTGTGTGTGTGTGTGTGTGTGTGTGTGTGTGTGT